GGAACAAAACTCATTTTCTCTGCTCTTCAACTTGCTTCTCCTTTATTCCCTGCCATCCAACCAGCCATCTGAGCTGGAAATGTGAACTCATCACCCCCTGACTCCCATCCTATTCATCACAAAATCCTCCCAGTCTGACATCCTCAAAATCACTTTAACACACCTGTTAAAGTGCCCCTACTGCAGTCCTTCAACATCTTTCCTGGACCACGACTCACAACCTCTTAACTGGTCTCTCTGCCGGGAGGTTACTTCCCTTCAAATTTATTTCCCTTTTTTGGGGGGTGTGGAATACAGATCAATGGTAGAGTGTGTGCTTAGCATGCCCAAGGTCCTGGGTTCAATTTCCAGTACCTCCATTAAAAAAATTTTTTTTTTTTACTTTCCTTGAAGCCAGAAGGGTGGTTTGTCTCATAAGAAAATGTGGCCATCTCATGTTCCCACTTGAAATTGCAGGATGAAGTACCAGCTTCTCAGGGCGTCTGAGACCAAGGACAGGACTCCTTGCCTGTCCCAGCCGTATCTGTCAGGAAGCTCCCCCAGGCTGGATTTGGTAACTTTCCTCTCTGTTCCCTTAACACCCTGCATCATTACACTTAGCCCCGCGTATGACAGCCTGCTCTCTGTTTCTCTTCTCTCCTAAGCTAAAGGATTCTTTAGGGCAGGGAGTGTGGCTTTATCTTTTCAATGCCTTATGCAGGGTGTAGCACAAGTTCCCAGAAACTCCTGTTTATAAGATAGAAATCAGGCCTGTTTATATATTAAAAATCAAATAAACCCAAACCAAAAACGTGAGTCTAATTAAGCTTTGACCTTGGCTTTCATATATACTTGCTCACATACAGCTTTCATCTATCTTTCTATATTTTGTTTATTAAATTTCTTTTGGGGGGGTGATAAGGTTTGTTTGTTTGTTGGTTTGTTTGTTTTTAGAGGTGGTTCTGGGGAATGAACCCAGGCCCTTGAGCATGCTAAGCACACACTCCACCACCATCTTTTTAAGTCCTGGCACCTCACACTATATAATGTCCAGGCAAATCTGGTGATAAAGTGGGGTCATCTGACACTCACATTGTATTCTCACTTACTCACACTGAAAAAAACCTTGTTGCAGGGGTATGTAAATAATTATTTGCCAAAATCTAAACAAACCTTGAATACTTTGGCTCCAGGGATTTCTGTAACTGGTTCTTCTGAGTAAGAAAGATCCTGCTCCGTAAAAAATTCCCGTATCCCGAGTTCACTGATTTCCACACCAACTACACTGTGCCCTCGGTCTGCAAACCTGCATAAAATCACATAATTACACTGAAATTATTTCAAGTACAGTACTAAATAAAAGGATATACCCCAATAAGCATACATTTTTCACAGGGTTTCACAGAACATGCAGATCCATAGAAAGCAGCTCTCTATATTCTCAAATCTTATGTTTTTGAAACTCTGAAAAACTGATTTATATGACCTTGGGAAAAGAAGTCACGAGTTTGGAAAATTATACCTTAAAATGTGGATTTACTACAAATGGATCTGATTAGAAGAGTTTCTGATTTAAAAGCATCCTATGAGTTAGACACGCTTTTCAGTTTCTGTAAATCACCTCTGTCCATTAAGACTTTCAGGGATGATGAAGAATCTACACCTGTGCTGTCCAGTCCAGCAGCCACTAACCACATGGGCCTGAGACGTGGCTAGCGCGATTTAGTTTAAAAAGCCACCTTGGGCTAGTAACTATTGTACTGAAGCACATGGCTCTAAAACATTAGCACCCATTTCTACAATCATCTTATAATTTCAATTTACTTACAGTAAACCTTATCCAGAAATTTAGTTAATTATCATAGTCAAATAACTGGTATTTTCCTGGTTTATAAGCTTTATAATTACAGGAGTCAGTCTTGGCATCTCGGACTTCAGCATTAGTGACACAAATACCCAGGCACAGTATTGATTTTGTGTCAAATTAAATGCATAAGTCAGTTCTGCTATAATGCAACCTATGCCTTCGTAAAAATCACTGCATTATGCAAAATCGTGCAATAAAAATCACGAGGTTTATGGGGAAAATGGGGGTTGGGGCACATATTAAAAATTCTGTCCCAATAGGGTATTATTTGGCCATCAAAATTGAAATCTTGCCATTTATGACAACATGGATAGACTTTGAGGGCGTTATGCTAAACGAAATGACTCAGAGAAAGACAAAAAGCATATGTGTGGAATCTAAAAACAAACAAAAAAACCAAACCAAACCCAACCAAACCCAACCCAACTAGCTCATAAATATAGAGAACAGACTGGTGGTTGCCAGAGGCTGGCAGTGAGCGGTAGGTGAAATGGGTGAAGGGAGTCAAAAGGTACACATTTTCAGTTATAAAATAAATTAGTCATGGGGATAATAACATGTAACCTGGTGACTATAGTTAGTAACACTGTGTTGCACATTTTAAAGTTGCTAATAGAGGAGATTTTTAAAGTTTTCACACATAAAACATTTCTATAACTATGTATTGATTAACTACTTATTGGAGTGACCATTTAATAATACATGCATGTATATACAAATATGGAATCATTATGTTGTATACTGGAAACTAACATAATGTTGCATGTCAATTATACCTTAATTTTAAAAAAATGTTTAAAAAGAAAGCTGGGGGGAGGGTATAGCTTCATGGTAGAGTGCGTGCCTAGCATGCATGAGGTTGTGGGTTCAATCCCTGGTACCTCCACCAAAAGTAATAAATAAACAGATAAACCTAATTACCTGCCCCCACAAAAAAATTAAAAATAAAATTAAAAAAGAAAAGCTGCTACACATTTGCCATAACTTATCTCTGTGAGTCAGGATTTTTTAAAAAATAATACACAATTAAACAATATTTAGAAAGAAACTAGATTAAAAGTATTACTTAAGGGGAAAAAAAAAACTTAGTGCCACATTAAAAAGAAAAAAGGCAGCAACCTAACAGCCATAGTTGCACAGTTTTACACATTAAATGGTTACAGTATATATAAATACTACAACATGGCACTTCACCTTGAGAAAGACCTGAAGTTTACTTACAGAGCTGGGCATTGGAGGGGAGGGTGTAGTGCAGTGGTAGAGATTGTGCTTAGCACGCAGGAGGTCCTAGGTTCAATCTCCGGCACCTCCATTTAAAATAAATAAACAAATAAATAAACCTAATTTCCCCCAACCTCAAAAAAAAAAAAAAAAAAAGAAAGAAAGAAAGAAAGAAAAAAAGAATTGGGCATTGGAAGGGTTGAGGCTTTAGAATTACTGTAAAGTAATAGACAGAGATTATTGACAATCACACAGAAAGTTCTAGCACTAGCTGTGGATGGGAGCGGCTCACAGCACATAGGGTGAGGTAACTGGGAGACATCCGAGGTGTGTGTGTGCGTTTTGTGTATTTATACACGGTTTATAGTTCAGCTGGGTGTCCTTTATACACGGTTTATAGTTCAGCTGGGTGTTCTTATCTGCTTTCACCTCATGTTTCTTGCAGACAAAATCACGGATGAGCAAATGTGAAATTCACATCATACTCAAATTGTTCCTTAATATAGCAGTGGAGTTAGAATGAAGTTAGCATTTTCAAAACAAGAGGTATAGAAGAACTGACTGGTCCTATTTCCCACACAAGACACATACTTTCAGTGTGGTCAGAACATGAACTGTTTATAATTCTAAAATACACATACTAATAACTTACCTTTCATGTTTCCTAGGAAATTTATAAGTTAACATACAGGGAATATTTCTTTTTATTTTCCATACATTTATTTGAAGTTAGAAAATATTTTTTAATATGTTACCCAAGCCAGCTGCATGAATTTTTATTTCCATTCAACAAGTGAAAAATGAAGCACAGCCTACTAAAGACTGGCGTAGGCTGGATTGTATTGGAATATATTGCCCTTAAAAAAAAAACCAAAACCTAAGAAAATGTCTTAAACATTTTGGGCTTCAGCTCATAGTTTATCTATTCACATCTGATATTTCTATAGACCCTAATATACAAATTCATAACATAAATGAAAAATCCTATGATACAATAACAATTACAATAGCTTAGTTCTGGTGTTTTTACTACAAATGACTTTAGACCCTAAATCTTCAACAGCCACATTTAATTGGCTGTTTCATCATACCATATCCTAATCTTGTCTCAGAGCCTCTGCTAGAATTAGACTGTTTCCACTTACGGCACGGCAATAAGGCAATCTGTTCACACAGTTAATGTTTTCCTTGCAGGTAGTTTCCAAGAGAACTCTTTCTTCTGGTTCATTGAGTTGGTTAGGAAATAATGTTCTCAATTTCATGGCCACCCTAGAATCTGAAGCCATAGCAGCCACTCACAAATGCTCTGAGCTACAAGTTGAGGGCCTGGGGGGCTGGCTGTAAAAATGTCACCATCTTCACTCAAAAATCAACCCTAAATGCATGCACGTTCTATGGACTGGCCATCTGTATTTCTAGAGGGAACACAACATATTTAATAAATTATTACTATATTTTTCACTTACCGGTCATGTTCATGCATACTTTTCATTTTTTTTTCCTGCTTAATGATCAAAGTTCTCAACATTCAAGCTTAAAAATGAATGTCTTGGCAGGTAGGATTGCGTCTGTCCAATATCATTAAAACAGAATTCTGTATAAATAATGGTGGCCACTTTTGCGACTGTAAGGTAACCCACAGTGATAGTGGTTTGTTAATTAAAGTGAATTCTCTTCACAGAGAATTACAAGACATACTTTTGTCATCACCACTGGTTTTGTAACAATGACTCATGAAAACAAAAACTCGTAGGTGCTCACAAAAGGAAGGAAGAGGGGGTGAAGAGTGGACTGTGCACAGTCTTACCCAAAAGTTGTAAAACATTTTTTGTTTGTTTGTTTTTGGGTTTTTTTTTTTGGCAGGGGAGGTAATTAGTTACTTTTTTCTTTTTTGGGGGGAGCAGTGATTAGGTTTATTTATTTATTTATTTAATGGAGGCACTGGGGATTGAACCCAGGATCTCATGCTTGGTAAGCATGTACTGTACCACTGAGCTATACCCTCCCCTTGTAATTCATTTTGAATTTTTCTGTCCACCTCTATTTAAAATACCTAAAATTTACGCAGTTAACTTCCTAAACCGCCTACAAAAACTAAACCATGCACAAAGATGACGGAGATTTAAGAAGGAAGGCTGGTCCCACCCCCCTCTCCCCTATCTCATTGGTTCTAAACTAATTTTCTTAGAAACTCAAAACAGAAAGACTAGGTCACACCTGGTTCTGCAGTGTCTTATGGTTTGAGAATATTACCTCCATGAACCCATCAGTAATAGTCTACTAAAAATATAGAAATCCTGAGCATTTCCTGAGAATGGCATTTTTTTAACCCACATCCTATTAAATAGTCACCCAAAGCATTTATCATCAAGACAAGAAAATATGTTGATGCTCATACCATTTCATCTCAACTGCTTTTCCACAAAGGGGAAAAAATACTCTCAGTCCATTCTCGCCTTTAAGAAAAGTATCCAAGTGCTTCTTTAACAGCCTGGGGAGGAAAAAAAAAGTTTGTTTTAATTAGTCCAAGGTACAGAGCAAAGGACTACAATTAAAATGCTAAGGACTTTTCATGCATTATCTCATTTAATATTTCCCAACAACTTTACCAAGTAGACAACATTAATTATTAAAATCTCTGGTTTACAAATGAAGAAACCGGAAGGTTAAGTAACTAGTGAGTAGTTAATCTGACTCAAACATGGGGCTTTTCTGATTAGTAATTAAAAATAAAAAATTATTTTTCCTTGGTTGATACACTTTGAAAATGTTATATGTGTGTGCATGTGGATCTGGACCTACTGAGTTTTTCAACATTCATTTTATGGAAAGCTCTTGAAATAGGTATTTCAGGCCTCAGAAGTAGCTCTGAAAAGTTCAGTCCTTGTAGTTAATTCCCTCTGGAGAGGCGTGGCTCTTCTAAGGCCAACCAAATGACAGAGATAACCCATGCAATGGTTCTAGGATGATGCCCCAACTACCACTTGGTATGCAAACATAAGAATAGTAACAACGTCCCCTGGGAAATCCAGGTGGCTGCCTGGAAGAAGGAACATCTGTCACAACTAGTTTACCCAGCACTGGCCTATCATTTATTTTTGCTGCTTCGAAGCTTACTACTACTATTAGTATATTGCTCAGCATCCTAGCTCGCTTACTAATTTCTCTCAACTTCTCTTCTCTCACCATATAGATAATACGTTAACATTTGAACACATGCTCTTGGAAAGCAAAGTTAGAACACTACCACTTTTCAGTATAAAGAGATGTAACCATTAATGTAGCAGAGCATCAGCTGCAAGAAAAAACAAGCATGACTAATACATAGACGCTACAGGGGATTTAAAAAAACGCATATTTCATAAATCTCAGACGCCATCAATTCTAAGTCACATCATTATTTATACTCCATGGGAAGAAACATCACTGCCAATTAAACTGTGACAGGCCACAGATGCATTCTGATTTCAGAGATGCTAAAGTGTGAACAACTAAGAATGTGCATCCTAAAATCAGTCAAAGAATGGGTACCTATATTATCATTTCTATTTCCAAAGTCAGTTTCTGACAGAGAATTTCTCTGTTACAGACTAACATTTCTCTGCAAAGAAATGTAAACATTTCTTACTGATGCCCTCCTTCTTGATGAAACGCAATGTTGTGGTTCACCCACTTCTCCTGCCACTCTTCCAGAGTTAGCACTCGGTTTTTCTGTACCTCGGTATCCGGGTACTCCTCAACATCAAGGACAGTTCTTGTACCATCCATAGTTCCGTAGATAACTTTGGCTCATAGCAAATGCCTCCAGTGCCTAAACGGAAAATGTTTGCAATGCTGTCATTCTAAGGACATTTCAAATCTATGCATGAATGACATGAAACTCTACTATCCTCAGCAATATGGCTTTTTAAAAAATATTTCAATATCCAAGGAAGAGCCATTTAGAAAATTACTTTTCAGTGAGTCTGATGGTAGAGGCATGTCTCATAATAACATTAGGAGAGATTTTTTAAACAAATTGAATTATATCTTAACATTGGAGTAAAAAGGTTTAAGTTTTTAAAAAAAGCACACACACATAAAAAAAGCATTCCACACTTCATAACTTTTGTAAGCTTAGAATTTCTCCTGGTATCTCACTCTAATTTTTAAAGTTTCTTTTAATGTTTACTTATTTTTTTAATCAATGTTATAATGTACACAAATCAAAGAGTTCAACAGAGTTATGAGAGCAGCAATCTCCACTCCCAATGAGGCAACCGTCTCTAACTCTTTTAGCTGAGTCCTGAAATCTAACTCCGTATTTCGAACTAGCATGCTTATTTTGTATCTTCTTAATTGATTTCTAGGTAGCATCCAGAAAGGTAAGCATTTCACCTTCCCAGCACACACACACACACACCACCTTCTCATTTTTTGTGTCCTTTCCATATAGACATAGCATAATTTTAAATAAATATTTGAAGTACACATTACTATGACTAGGCAAATACTATTCACAGCTAAGCCATGTAGAATTCTAGGATTATTTTTCCTTTTCCACACAGCTTTTTATTCTGCAGGTAATAACTGTCTTGCTCTTTCATTTCCATATATTTCTTACTTATATTCTAAAATTTCTACGTATTTCTATATATTTCTTACTTATATTCTAAAATTTCTATATATTTATTACTAATTCAACTCTAAGTTCTCCCAACTGTCTCAATCTCCTACCAGTACACTCTCGGCCTCTTCGGTTATCAGATTTCCTATCAATATCATCATCTTGGAGAACCCTCAGACCTGGATGCACTCTCCTCCTGGTACATCGCTAGCCTTCTGGGATCTTTCTTAATCACCATCCTGGAGACTTCCTTCTTATCTTTTCATGAATCCCCTACTTACTTTATTGGATATTTCCCACTTTTTGTGGTTACCACCCTTGTATTGGTGAAGTACAACCTTCAGCAGCTTTCTGAGAAAGGGTGCATGGGAGAAAAGGTTTTTTGCAACTTTGCATGTACAAAATGTCTTCATGCTATTCCTCATCCTTAATGTATAGATTTGCTGGGTAACAATTCTTCATTAGAAAACATTTTCTCCCATTATTCTGAAGAAATCAGTCCCTTATCTTCTAGCTTTGAGTTACTGCTTAAATTCAAAGGCATTCTCATCCTGGTATTTTCCACGTGGCCAATATTTTTCTCTCTCTCAAAGCGTTTGTCTGCCTCTCAGTTTTTGCAATTTCATAATTCTGTGCCTTATTCTGGGTCTATTTTCATCCATTTGGCCAAGTTCTTTTAATCTGTTACCTCATATCCCTCAATTCTGGAAAAATCCTTGAATTATTCAGATAATGATTTTGTTCCCTCTTTTTTTTCCCCCTCTTTCTCGGACTCCTTTTATTTGGTTGTAGGACATCTTGACGTAATGCTGTAAATTTCTCATACTTTTTGTATTTTTCATTATTTTGCCTTATTTTCTGAAGCCACCTAATTTTTTTCTCTCTACCTTTTCATTTAGTTTTTCCTTTCTGCTCTCAAGTCTTTAATTCTTGAGAGCTCCTTTCTATTTCTCATGCTCTCTTTTCATATTATTTTGTTCTTATTTCATGGATGGAATGAATATGCTATTTTCTCTTATTTACCTCCATAGTCTGTCACTGAGTCACTTCTTCTGTTGGTTTTATCTTCTATCTTTCAAACTAGTGACTGTCCTCAAATGCCTAGCAATTCTAATTATCTGCTCATATTTAAGAATTAATAAAGAAAGATGATTAGAAATTTAAGTTTGTGGGTGGGGCTTATTGACTAAGCCTCACTGTAGGATGATGTGAATAGATATCATTTGGAAGCCTCAATGTTATTATCTTTATTTTCTTTGGACTGGTCAGACTTTCTATAGAGAGACCTCCCAATTTCTGTTGAAAATTTGGGTCCTTGGGACCATGGTTCTAGACTCACATAAGAAAAGAACAAACATGGGAGAGGACCCCAGCATTCAGTGTGCCTGTGTTCAATTAATCTCCATTTTTCAGTATGGTCTTCCATCCCCAACTGTGAACTGTGTCTTCCCAGTCCAAAGACTCTTTCCCTTCTCCAGGGACTAAACCCCTGCAAAGTCTGCTGGTGCGGTGAAGGGCAGATACTTGGTTGCAGGGACTTAAGAAGCAATCCTTTTAGTTTCAACCATACCCTTCCATCTCCCAGAGGTACCTGCTGTGGCTAATTCCTGAGCACTGGGGGATTCTATAAATGTAAAAAGAGTTGCTCATTGGCTTTCCCCATTGCTGGGTTAGAATTTAGCTGTCTTAAGTCTGCAAAATCCCTTACTACTTGTCTATCTGCTTTCTAGATTTCAAAAATTTATTGCTTTTATCTTCTCTTCGGTCGTCCCTATTCTAGCGGTTTATGCCTTTAAAAATCCTGGTGTTGTTTTGGTGGAATGGAAGGAGGGAGCAAAACTAGACGCAAGTACTCCGTATCTGATTGCTACCCCACAAGTTTGTATTTTCCAATAATTTTAGTATAGCTTCTTTTTTTTGCATGGGAAAATGTGCACAAAGATGTTGACCTAAAGAAAAACACACAACATAGGAGCTGTGAGTTTCAATTTTGTTCGGAAACTTTACTTAGAACTATAGCTCGGGAAATAACTCTGAGGAACTGCTCCAAGTATATATGCTTCGTATATATGTTTTTTTTTTTTTTGACTGGGAAAAACATGTAGTCAAGCATACATCTTGGTAAAAGATTACTGCTAATCACAAAGAACAGACACCTGAAGTTAATGATGTTAGTGCTTTTCTGTGTATGAGAAGATGCAAGAATCTTGGGCCATTGAAATTCTCCTGGAAGCATGCCTCTTAAGTATCCAGGGGCCATTTATCCAAAACACAGAATGCATCAGCCTCATTTTCTGAAGTCCTGAATCGCCTCAGGGCACAGCATGGGTGGGCCCTGGGCAGGGATTGCGGACTTAACCCTTGGTGTAACTGGATGAGCGACGTTGTTTTTTGTTCCT